CAATTAAATTTCCTTTTAAGGCTCTGTTTCAATTCAGTTTGCGTATTTAAAGTTCATTTAGATTTTCAGTAATTTAGCGATCATTTATTTACCTTGCAGTCTTAACTTTTCTTGATTACATTAGCTTTTAGGAGTCCTTGGAATCATATCCAGGGTATTTTGTTGCATAACCCATTTAGTGCAGGAAGTTCATCCCTCGTTTCTGCCAATCGTCTGATCTTTAAGGTGCAATTCACGACGTTTTTCCATCAACTCACAAGTTGAGTTCCACGCTTGGAAAGAAAAGAGGGTCGTCGGAGAAATCTTTCTTGTTTTGAGCAAAGCAAGTGGCACGCCATTTCATCTGCCATGTGTCAAGGAGATTTTTTGGGATAACAATCTCTTTTTGGCACGCCTGGTGGGACCTCTTGCTGGCGATTGTCTATCAAGAAAAGTTTTTTGATCCTCTTTTTGCTTTTCCTGGGCATAAAGCAGCCATAGCTATGCCTAGGAGAGTTGGAAAAGAAGTTGCACAACAAGTGGAAGTAGCTCCCGTGAGTCCAAGACATTCTGAAGGTGAAAATAGTCCAGAGCATCTTCCACCTATTTTTCCCTTGGCAGATCGATCATATGGCAATCCCATATATCGCAATGATGATGAGGAGAAAGTTGATTTTGTTGACTCAAGCAATAAAATATCTCAAGAACTTCAGTAAATAAGGAAGCTACAAGAAGAAACCAATCAGAACATGGAGCGTAGTCTACAAAGCTTTTTACAAGCCCAACGAAAACATTTAGATCATTTCACTCAATGTTTGAATGTTATCGAAAGGGCCATTCATGACAATTCTCGAGCTATTCGAGAAGAAGTAGCCGAAAGTCGCAGAACCATCACTGTAGTTTCTGAGAGAACCATGGAACATGCTCGACAGCAGCAAAATGTTCCAAGGCAACCCGTACCTCCAGCAATGGAATTGCCACAGCAAAATCTTCTAGATCCTTTGCCTAGGGGGCACGGGGGGCATATTAATCAGCCACAGGTGGTGCAGCAAATGCCCAATGCTCAAAATAATGCTCTTGGTTCTGGCCAGGTGCAGTTCAATAGGCAGTAGCAAAACAATCCTGCTGGTGGCATCCTTGGACCACAAGATTTTGTGGAAGCAGCATTCCGTGCAGTTGAGCAGTTCAACGCCAATCAACAAAGATATGTACCCCCTGCACGGCGTCCAAATGCTGTCCCACAGTCCAATTTGCAGAATAATGTTTTTCAACCACTAGGGCTACAAGTAGCAGCTCCTCCCTTGGATAGAAATCAACTGATTGATCTAGTCCAGGAGACATATGGTCCAGTTCTGAGACCATTGGTTCGTCATTCCTATCATAAGCCGTATCCAGATTACATAGATCGGGATAATCCATTTCCTCGTGGATTCAAAGTGCCTGAATTTACTTTGTTTTTTGGGGACGCAAGCCAGTCAACCATTGAACACATTGGTAGGTTCACTATTCAATGTGGGGAGGCATCGAGTGATGATTTTTTGAAGTTGAGACTCTTCCCAAGTTCTTTAACTGGTACTGCATTGACATGGTACTTAAGTCTGCCGCAAAAATTCTGTATTTGCCTGGAGACAAATGGAAGATTTGTTTCATATTCAATTCTACCGCTCAGAGCCTGAGATATCCATGGCTGATCTTTCTAGACTAACTCAACGGCCAGGGGAATCTTCTGAAAATTATCTTATGCGGTTTAGAAAAGCCCGGATGAAGTGTCATGTTGCCTTACTAGAGCAAGAGTTCGTAAAGCTTGCTCAGAATGGTTTAGACATTTAACTTCGAAAGAAGTTTGAGGGGATGGAATTCAGAGACTTCTTTGAGCTCTCTTATAAGGTGGCGCGTTATGAGAACCTTTTAAGAGAGGAATCCCAAAGAAAGGCAGCATTGCAAGGAACTTATTATCAGGATGCTTTTGACCTTGATGTTGCCGAGGTCTTTGCAGACAAGCCAGTAACTTGTCCTAATCTAGTGAAAGTCACTCAACATAAGGAGCATCTCTTGAAAGACATATAAAGGGCGAACTTTGGTTGCAGATGACCTTCGTTGGGTGATTGAAAAGGAAAGGGAACGTCGTGCCCGACAGAATCAGAGGCTCGGGGGGCAACACCATGCTGCCAGAATCTATGCATCCGGATCCAGGGTGAAGGAGGCTCGACATACAGATCACTCTCGTATGGTTAAGCCTCCACAGCGACCTCCAAGTAAAAGATGGGAGAAGGTCGTGCATCCCAAGTTTCCAAAAGAACCTGTGAGAAATCCTAGAACTTTGAGAAGAAGGTTGTAGCGAAAGCAAGCAGAGGCACGTCATCGTCAACAATTAGCTACTGAGGAAGTTAAGGTTCCACAACGTTCTCTCGCAAAGGGAAAGATGGTGTGGAGGAGAAAAGAGAGTCAAGAGGTTGCTGTCCAGAATGAATCTCAGCCGAAGGTGCCACCTCCTAAGCTCACTTCATTGATCGTTAATGAAAATGAGTTAAAGGCAACCTTTGAAGCAGATCAACAAGCAGAGTTGACTAGCGATGATAATTTTCTTGAGGACATGGATGTTCTGCAAATTGGCAGCATCTCTATTAATCTCTCTTGTCTGGTTCTCACGCTTCCTTTGGTTTTTCAAGCCAAGGGCAGCGAGACTACCCATGTTTCCAATGGCAGCATGCTTGTTGAGGAAGAAGTGATAGAGGTTCCAGCCCAAGAAGAGGAAGAGGAGCATGATATCCTTTCGAAACAAATTATCTTTAACAAACCAGATGAAAATGTGGCTCGTCATATAAAGCCACTCTACATTTCAGCTCACATGGATGGAGTTCCAGTGAATCGAGTTCTTGTCGACAATGGAGCAGTAGTCAACATCATACCTTATTTTATGCTGAGGAATTTGGGTAAAAATTCTGAGGACTTGGCTTATACTGACGTAACCATCAGTGATTTCACAGGTAGTGTTAGCAAATCAAAAGGAGTGCTACCGGTTGCACTTACTATCGGCAGCAAGACGTCAATGAGTGCTTTCTTTGTTGGAGACTCTTCTGCAACTTATAATGCATTACTGGGACGTGATTAGATCCATTTGAGTTGGTGTGTTCCATCTTCTCTCCATCAAAGACTCATTTTTTGGAATGGAGGCAAAACTGAGGTGGTCTATGCTGACAACAGACCATTCTTAGCCAATTCCAATATGGTGGAAGCACGGTACTATGATGAAGACGTAGGAACCATCCGTTTCTTCGGCATGGATAGACAAGGAAGACCTCGTGGAATCACTGCTTGCAACAAGCCTACCTTGGCTAAATATGTGGTTGACGAGGTATGCAATGAACTCTTGCGACCTACTGCCATTATTCCATATAGGCCGCAAGAGGAGCTCAAAATTGAGGAGTTATTATGAAGAAATCCAGAATAAACAAAGAAAGAAGGGAGGCCGTATCTGAAATTCTAAAGAAATTAGCGGCCTATTTTGCTGAAAGAAATACAGAAGCAAATCTGTCGGAGGTGGTACATGAAGGTGAGGAAGACATCCATACCGACGGAGTCACAATGGAGGAGTTAGATCTGGCCCCTGCAAAGCTGGATGACCTCAGGGCTGATGTACAAGATCCATTGAAGGAAGTTAATCTGGGAACGGAGGCAGAGCCACGCATTACTTTTGTCAGTGGCTTGCTGTCGCCAGAGATACGAGATCAAATAATCTGTTTACTATATGAATTCAAAGACTGCTTTGATTGGGATTATTCTGAGATGCCAGGTTTAGACCGAGAGTTGGTAGAGCATAGACTTCCAATCAACAAAGGATATAAGTCGTACAAACAGCCGCCACGCCGTATGTCTCCAGAAGTGATTTTGAAGGTGAAGGAAGAAGTGGAGCGGCTGCATAAAGTTGGTTTTATACGGACAGCCAGGTACTCA